ATCTTCATTAATACTTTAACCTTCTTTTCCACCGAATAATAAAAAGTATTCTAACATAAAGTACGTCTAGGTTCTGAGGAAGGCGAAGTCGCCGAAACGTCAGCCATCGTTCAATAACATCAAAAACAACGACAACGACAACGACAACGAAGATCTGTACCAACCTCGCGTCAGCTTAAGAAGATCAGTTTATAAGATCACATAAATAAATATATTCCCGACAATCTTATGAGTCAAACTCATACACATGAAGAACAATGGGCATCTACAGTGTTTATGTGATGCATGTTATGTATGTATGTATGTTATGTACGTTTCTATGTTATGTATGTATATACGAATGCACGTAGGTATGTGTACGCGTGTGTACCTGTATATGTAGGTGTACTCGTTTGTGTGTTCGTGTATATATGTATGCATGTTCATGTTTGTACGTTTGTATATGTATGTGTGTGTGTACGTGTATATGCCTGTATGTGTATATGTGTATATTCACGTGTGCGTTTCTCTATGTATATATGTATGTGTATGTGTATATGTGTGTGTCTGGACTTTAACCATAGCGCATGTGGCGTAAAAGCAGAAAAAGATCAATAAGAATAAAACCTTGAAGGGAACAAATATGAATATAGCAACCGATCACGATTGAATCCCATGATCTCCATTCCGATTCGTTTCATTTGTTTTGGATCGCGTTCGGACATTATGCGCTCCGCAGCTCTGTTATCATTAGCCGATAGTGCCTTACTGTACCTGAAATTTCATATGCACTAAACAGTTCATCGAAGTCTACGGTGATTCTAGACGGAAGTTGCTTCTGGAAGAGAAACTTACGGTTTCAAATGTACACTACTGGAAGACGTTCTAATTGGTAAACAACATTAAGAGGAAACGTACATATAGAATTGTTCGACACACGAAAACTGTTTTCTGGATCCATCCATAGCCGTCTGCTCGAAAACGCATGGATGGAAATTCGAAAAAGGACTTTGCATGGTGAAGAAAAGAGTGAAATCACCGCATGGCGATGATACACGACGAGTTCCCATTCACGATCCGCCTTAATGAGAACGTCCAGACGTGTAGTATAGAATGCTCTTCTGTTATCTGTAACATTGGAAATGGTAAACCAAATACAAAGGAAGTAACAAACAATACTGGTTCACTACAAGATATACTAACCTAAGTTAATGAAAAACCTAGAAAAACGACAAACATGATGGAGGCGGAAATACTTCCGTCATATATTCCTTTAAAAATGTTGACTCTTAGTATACTCTGTTGCACAATAGTGTTGACTCTGAGTTTCAAATCATGCAACTGGAATAGAAAGCATGTCAAAAACATTACAACCCACCAACAAAACAGCTTACAAGACAAATCCACGGGAAGAAAACGCTTAGCAGTAATAAAAGATAAAGATCACGATGATAATCAACCCGTTAGGAATGCGCAATGCATTCGACTTTATTAAGCATCGTTTGGAGGTGATTGAACGCATATGTGGCTTTCACAATAACTCGCGGTGGCCTACTGATGTATCGAGCCAGTGCTGCTATCCTCCCAAACAAGTCTGATACTAGTCTGGTGACCCCGGAAGGATGGAGCGTTTGGTGGGCCTGGGGTGCCGGGATCGATCCCATGTGTGTGTTGAAGGGCACCTCCAACCACTGCACCACAAGCGCTCCGTTTAACAGTAAACAGTGAAAAGCAAGTAGCTGCATCAAAGTGTACAAAATGTACAGCAATATTATTAGTTCAGCATACACTCGCATTCTAAAGCAAAGAACAAGCTGAGATAGTAAACAAAATCGCTACCGTTTCCAAAGTTGGTGAAGCCCACCTGACCACGAGCATGATCATTCTTATAAGCCCTATTTCTGCAGTGTTGATACTTTTAAGCGTATGAAAGCGTAAATTTTATGATGTAGCACATCCACTAATACCAAAGAACTGGGTATACTTACACAACAATAACCAAAGACTTTCTTGTCATTTTAAGATCAGTGGATTTCCACTATCAGAGCCATCCGGATTTCAGTTTGTTACAAAGCCACGTGCACATGACGCACTCTCAGCAAATAGGCAGGAGCAAAATCGATCTCATACCTGTTTCGATGAACAGCTGAATTTAGAGGACCGGTTCACAACCTCTAATTTGTTGGGCTGTCTTATATACAAACTACTCCTCACCTCACAGAACTCCTCTATTTCCAAGCATATCAACAGTGTCAATGAAGTACCTTGCTATAACAAATACGTCACAACACCGAGCTCTTGGAAGAGTATACAAGGAACACTATTCAGCACGATCTAACATTGTCACTACTTTCACGCTCATTCAATCCTTGTTCCTTCTAAACAGAAGACCACATCTTCCAAATATTCATCTCTGATAAGTTCGAAACTCCGACCAGCCTCAAGATGACCTCTGAATAACCTCACACCGCGGTCCAAGAATCGGAATAGCACAAAAAAAGGTGACGCTGAGATTGTGATAGTAACCAGCACAATTCGCTTCAGAAACCAATCCATAAATGTTGGTGGTAGGAATGAAAAGCACCATAATGGAATAAACCTCGTAGAAAATCCATGGTGTTCTCTAACCTGTCGTCAAAAATTTTACATGTGATCGGATTATTGCATTCGTAGCAAAAGACACGTTTTTCCCTATAAAACGAACAAAAAGTTTCCAAATCCATGGTAAATTAAGACTTATCCACTCAACACGTTTTTGGAAATGACAAATTTATCTAGAAGATCAACAAGGAATACTATAGATTAACAATATAATCAGCTACATAGCTTTAGCTTCAGCTTTATACTACTGCTTCAGTTGAACTGGGTCCAATGGCGATTTGTGCTCCCCAGATCAATCTCGTTAACGAGTGATGGCTGTCAGCACCTATAAAACACGGCTAACAGGATGGCGAAACGAAGGACACACATAGTGTGATGGTGAACACGTTAGCCCCCATAAAGGGTAATACCGAGGTTCGATTCCCGTCGCTAACACCTGCGATCCGTAGTTTTGCAAATATCTCGGCATCATTGTAGTACTATCAATTAATTTTACACCCAACGACAGTTGCAAACATTTGAAAGTTATCAAGAGATGTCTTTCACTAGCAAGTCATAACACATCAGTAGGAGTCAGATGAACCAATCGTAACAACTGACCTACACCAGAATTTGACAAGCTCTGCTGGAAATCATTTAAACACTTCAAGAGCAGTTATACATGACGAACCCATAACTACTGGAAAAGTCATCCGCTATGCTAGTATAAATTACAAAACCATGACGACCACCTCCAACATGCAAACTGGATGCTTAACAATACAAGAGAGATGGAGAAGGTTATACACGACTTCTACACCGATTTTTCCCGGAAAAGTGATGTCCCGTTGGTGAGTAACTGTGGAGCTCTAGGATTAGACATGGACAGACCTACACATCTAAGTAACCACAATGATGCCGAGATATTTGCAAAACTCCGGACTGCAGGTGTTTGCGGTGGGGAACGTATTCGCTATTACCCTTTCCGGAGGTTAACGCGTTCACCACCACACCATGCGGGTTCTTCGTATCGCCTGTCTCTCGGCTAGTTTTCTATCGAGCAGTGCCATCAGCAATCACCCGTCAACGGGATTGATCTGGGGAGCCTAACTCGGCAACGGTTCAAGTTTATCTGAATAACATTCCAACGAGGTTTCTTTTAGATAATCAAGACGGGAAGTCGATTGAGGATTTAGAAAATAATGCAATTGTGCAGGTGGAAAGATCTACGTCTCAGCAAGTGTCGTCCAATTTTTTTACACCCAGTTTACGTTTATACCCATCCTGAATATTCCCAACGGGAATGATTGGACATTGGATGAAGAACACCCATCATCGCAGGTCAGCTTCAAAATCCTATTACATTACAATAAATACGGAAGCGGTTATGGAACCCACCGAAGTTTAACGAGAGTCCAGGTTGTCGCTATATCCAGCTATCGACGTGGAGAAATCATCCAGTTCTCTTGAAACAGAAGCAGTTATGGAAGCTATCGTCAAAAAGGCCACTGTGTTTACTATGCAAAACCCTCTAGCAAAATATGCAGTCTCTTCAAAAGAGACCCCACCCCAGTACCACCAAACTTTCCGTCCCTCCTGAGTATAAAACTTACTGGCCTTGAATTAGCTTCCTCACTCCAATTAATAAAAGCTGGGGACTGCCGTGATGAAGAGCTAAGAATGCTCTAGCACAGCTATCTCAACACTCCAGGGAGAATCTGCTCATTCAACATTCAGTGACGTTTATGCAGAAGATTAAAAATTCTAAGGTAGCAGCCGAAGCCACATAACCAAAAAAATCCGTTGATGACGAACAACAGGATATGAATCGAATGCAAGTGCTGGTATCCGTATTAATCTGTTTGGTCGTGCAAAATGAGAAAACTGCCTCATCGAATCCAGAATTTTGTCATTTTAAAATCCATTCACATATCGCCAAAAGTACTCATATCTTGAGAAAACAACATGAAAACAATAATGGGATAGCACGTTAGTTAAAGGAGACAGTACATCGATCCTTGCCGTTTAGCTAGTGAGATCATAGCAGCAACAACAAGCTCTAGCCGGTCGAAACGTATGATTGTGAGGCTCAACAGCATATGTGAAGAGAGCCTATATAGGACGGTGTTCATAGGAAGCGGATTAATAGAAGGATGAAGCTCTCAGCCTTGACCAATCCCTGTGTGATGTGCCATGCATTCGACTTCGTTCAGTATCGTTGGAGGTGATTGAATACATATATAGCATCTACAACGATTCGCAGTGGCCTACCGATGTATCCAGTCAGTCATGCTATCCTCTTAGACAGGTGTGGTACCAATCCGCCCCGCCACACGAGCCACACATACCCATCCTCGTTTACAAGAACCGGATGGAAGATGACGTAAATTCCACCGCCATCCATAGTCACCTTCCACTGACAAGAAGAATAACAAAATCCACTCATCCCCATGCTTCTAAGCATTCATTTTAATCTACTTGTATTTTGCAAGCATTAACACAACTCTTACTTATCCTTTATTCCACCTTTCTTTGCATGCTATCCGTTTGACGCCCATATGCCCCCTCAGACCTCACGTATCTAATCGACCATCGAAGAAAAACTACTCGAAGAAAACCAATGGAATACTTTATTTAGCGCACAGTACTGCAGGATGATGTAGCGAAAAATATGGACAGGGCAAGCGAGTCTTCAAGTACACACCACCGATTGAGGATGCCAATAAAACATATCACTAGAAGATACACCAAATAGTTCAGACGGAAACCAATATAGGATAAATCAATTCGAAGGGCTGTTACCAAAGAAACTGTTAATAGAAAAAGTTAGTTAAATTAAAGGACGAGTAAAATCAGTAACGAGCGAAAAACGTTCACAACCGGCGAGCACATTCACATAATAACTAACAGCAAGCCCATGACTTCTAAATATCATCGATATCGATCTCCGCACCATCATCACCCTTCACTTTAATGTCCGCTACCTTCGCTGCTTCAGCCTTCGCTTTCTCGGCGTAAACACTTGTCTTCTGATTACGATCGTCGAACTATAAAATATATCTCATATGTAAATGTCAAAAGCCAAAATTAAATAAGAATACATACGTCGATGTCGTCATCAGAGTCATCGTCATCGTCTTCCTCCTCCGCCTCTTTAAGCCATGTTAGCACAGCTTCACACTTCTGGATTATCTTCTTCGACTGAGTCTTTGTCACATATTTCGACGAAGGCTAAACATAAGTCTCAATTACTGCGACATAACCACTCTTGAAGGTTAAACGGCCATATTTACTACACACTTTAAGGTTGACCCGTAAATCGCACAAGAAATCCGAACATTGAAAACAACTTGTGTTCTCGCTACAATCTTAACATGCAATTTCAGTTCGCAACTTGGAATGTATCCCACGACTAATAACCCATAACCCATAACCCACCTTCTCTCCCCATGCAAGAATTGCGTCTTCCTCACAAATATCGTTGTCGTAAAGACCTTTGATGATGTGCGCTGCCTTCGGTAGCAAAACTGCTTCATGTCTGATTATAAGTTGCTCAATTCCACCCAAAAGGTAACGTTGTGCCTTGAAACAATTAGGAAATCAAAAGCTCAAACTACTGACTTCCAAACCAGCTAACTACCTTCTTATCTCCCAGCGTGAACCTTAGCAACACCCTCCTGTTGTTCTTCAGTTGTGCCATTCCATCTTTAATTATATCTTGGTCGAGAAGCACATCGACTAGAAGGAGCGGCGCCTTCTGCTTGAGCTCGAGACGTTCGGCTTCGTCAGCTAACGCCTGGATAAAAACCAATACTATAAGACAATACTAATGACCATATAATTAAACCCTGAAAACTTTAAATGTCTTTAATCACGCAAACCGTCAACAAACCTTCCCATCCCCTATTGTTCCTTTTGTTTTCGATTCAAGAAAGAAACGGTGTAGCATGTCCAAGCGCTCTTCAATGCTCTTATCCAAATCCTTGTCTAACACTAGCTTCCCTATGCCAGCTGCAAGTTTTGTATTCGGCATTTCTTCTTCTTCCGGTGCCCAGTCGTCATCATCGTCATCGTTCGAACTATTCTGGAACATTTCCTAGTAAAAAGGCACCTAGTACTTCGATCCAAGTCTGAGCATACCTTTCATTGAAAAAAAATATTTTCCCAGTAAGTCACGAAAATATCTCAACCAAAAAAAACAACGGCAACACTACTCTTAATCTACTAAACGTAAACGGAAACAATGGCGCTACGGATTCAAGGTGCACCTTATCTCCATTCGCGTCGAACCCTATATCGTCCTCTTTGACATATCCATTTCCATTTTGTTGCTTCTCCTTGGCTAAAGTGAACATTAGCAATCACGGTTACAACTGAGGAATAATGGTTCATTAACCTTTACGAATCGAAGTTGCCTTTTGGAAACATTACAAAGATAAACACGTAGAAGGAAAAAACACTACTTTCAGTACTTCTCAGCCATTAAGAAAGAAGTGGAACGGCTTACACAAGTCGACTTCTATCTTTGGAGGATTTTTGAGGATATACGTTGACAACTTGTGACGGCTGTCTATGATAAACGCGTGACCACATGCCTTGCATTTGCTGTGAATCTGGTTCCGACGCACGGACTAAACAATAGTTGGGTTAGTCTATGAAGAACGCCATCGTAGCAAAACCAATTCTTGCCAGAGAAATGCTGACCGCGTGAAAACCTCACCAAGGCTGTTTCAGGATTTTCGCATGCTGGACAAAGAACGAATTTCTTGATAAATCCGTCCAAGATATCTTGCAACTTCGCAGCGTCATGCTCGCCGTTGACAATGTAGCGCTCATTTCTCGCATCGTAGTTTGTTTGGGCACCTAACTCGCAGCCGAAATACTTTGTCGGGTCTTAAAGAACAGTTTTCATTTATGATTTCAATATGTGGAAAGCAGCACAAGATACTCACACATTGGAGGGCGCTCAAGCGACTTGGCTATATCAGACATATTCGCTACAACAGTTTTGATCCCATTGCCCTTGCCCTCTACCTAGAATTTGACAGCCAGACGTATAGCGTTTGCTGAACAATCACTACTATTCAACCCACCTTTGCTAGCAGCTTCGGCATTTTGTAGCGGTAGAACGGATCGGTCACTGCGCGGTTGACATTCAGAGCCATTGTATATTATAACGTGATCGACTAAAAGAACTCTTCGATGACATAGCTGAAGTTGTCTAGTTGTCTACAAACTGAGATACCATGGAAAATGAAAATGATAACCTACAACAGTCACTAGAATAATTGGAGAACTCGAAAGGCAATGGTTTGCCGTGATTGCATACGATGTCGGTATCGTAGACGACAGCGTCGGGATACAACAACGCTAAGGATTCGCTTGTCTTCAGTTTCTTTCTCTTTCGTGACAACCTCCCTGAAACTTACTGTGGTTTAATGGGGTTAAAAAGTAGTAGTAATCATATAAATGGAACATAAAGACGCCTCTTCTTACCCTCAGTGGTTAGATCGTCAAACATAAACCAACCGAATACAGTCAACACGATTCCCGAATTAATCAAACCACACTTTTCAACATTTACCTTACAACAAAATAACATAACATATCACTATCATTAAAGGACCAATCAATGCTATTGAAAACCACACTCTTACGACGGTTTGCGACATCAAATGGGAAGCCCTTGAACAGGGTCAAACAAAAGACGAGTAAAAACTAACTCCTTTACAACAATCGGTACTCATAATGATGCTGAGATATGTGCAAAACTCCAGACCGCTGGCGCCTGTGTTTGGGACCGAACATGCTGTCACCGTTGCCGGGGGCTGACGCGTTCACCACATCCATCATGAAAGCCCTTCGTTTCGTCTTTCTCTCAGCCGTGTTACTGACCTATAGGTGCTATCAGCAATCACCCGTCAACGGGATTTATCTGGGGAGCGAAAGTCGGTATTGAACCTAGTTAAGCTGAATCTATGGTATAAATCACAATGTCGTAATATTTTATTTTGTATTTACTGAAATCATTAGCCATTTAACCGCGTACAAAAAGCAATTACAACTACCGCAACTGTGTGGGAAAGCCATTTGGGAAACCATGACGCCAAATGCCACCACTTAACCCTGAGGAAGTACTACTAGCCTCGTAAATACTTACCTTCTTGAGGGTTGTCGAGCATAAAATTGCAGTATCGTAAGAAGTTTGTTGGGTGCAAGAACATGCACAACCGGCACTCCCAGTAAAAGCAGACGGGTTTTCCAAGTGTCAAGGAGATCCTATAAAATTACACCAATGATTTCAAAGGAGAAAAGAGCTCTCAGTAATTATTACACCACTCAAAAGCAATACAGTGAAAAGTAGATGGAATTACACGCGATTCGCAAAACAGCAGCAAAGAATTGCCGCCAATGTGACAAACAATGGATCGAATTCATGGACGTAGGTATCAACAGTGTCACCCAGACAACGATAAACCCCGAAAAGACCGGATGGGTGCTCAGGTTGAAATCACTAGTGCCATTCCCAAGAGTGGACCGGGACCTTACAAAAACGATCGCAAGAACGTTCGACCCTATGATCTGGAAAAACAGCTATTCTAAGTGAATCTAGGACGAACTGAAGACACGGGAAACAACTGGTGCACCGACGACAACGGACAGCAGACCCAGCTTTGGAGGAATGACGTCGGGAACCACACATCCATGGGCTCCCCGCCGCTATATGAGCGGCCCGCCATGTGCCCGCCCCTCTGATGTCTGCGTCTATGACGCACCTGACCTCCGACGTATCGCGCCGCCGCGGCGCAAATGCGAGCTCTCTAGGCGCCCTGCCCGTCCTCACCCACGCACTATCGACTGCGGTCGTGCCACGTCTGCGGTCTCCTGCGTCTGCTGATCAATCGCAGCCAGTTCTCCCGCCGGGCAGACGTTACCCCAAGAAACGGGGGCTGTTCACCCGAGGGGATGGGGGAAATCGGCGGAGTCGGAATTCGACCATGGCTCATTGAGACCTTCCAGAGGTTATTATGGGATCGTGGAGACTTCTGTTGAGACCTCCAAAGAATGTTCGTTATATGTGTAAAACATAAAAAATGCTTTATCACTGAGTCACAATTGCACGGACTTTATTACAACTACAACACTAAAAACAAAGGATAAAATTCTCAGCGTTGATCAATCCCTGAGTGATGCGCCATGCATTCGAATTCATTAAGCATCGTCGGAGGTGATTGTATGGATATCTGACCATTACAATAACTCGCCGCGGTGGCCTACTGATATATCGAGCCAGGGCTGCTATATTCCTAGACAACTCTGGTACCAATTTTCCGATCCCGGAAGGATGGAGGCTATGGTGAGTCTGGCGCGCGGGGACCGATCTCAAGCGTACACAGGGAGCCTACGACCACTGCGCTGCACGCGCTGTAGTGGAACACTATTAGTCTTTTTTGCTATGCACCACTGCCGATTCATTCAGAATCTTATTAGGGTTTGGTAACTTCAGCAATAACCTGTAATATTTCATTATAGTTTAGTCACGAAACACTTACTAGCCGCAAATTTAACTACGAGATACGAGAAAGAAGGGACAAACGTGATTGAACCAAACGGCTCCATATGCCATTTCCTAAACTTTTTTTTTGCCTAAAAGAACATCGGTTACACATCAAAGAAGAGCGAAAACACCCACATCCTCACTAATCCCGTATACTTCATGGTCGTTTCATTGTGTCTTGAGAGGAGTGAGTGTAGAGCAGTGGTCGGAGGAGTCCTGCAATATACATAGGATCGATCACCGCACCCCCAGGCTCACCAAGTCTTCCATCCTTCCGGAATCGGCAAATTGGTACCAGACTTGTCTGGGTCGATACATCGGTAGGGCACCGCTAGTCAAAGGCCAGATATGTATGCAATCACCTCCAATGATGTTTAATGAAAAATGCATGACGCATTCTTTAGGGATTGATCAACGCCGAGAGCTTTATCCTTTATCCCTTATGTCTTGACAGCAATGCGAAATGAGCAGAATGCAACCACAGCAAAGGCTTTTCGTCGCATTGTCGAGAGCCTGGTGATGGAGGAACACCTCATTGAATGCGAACAAAGGAGATAATCAACAGTTCCGACCCACACGTCGACAATCGCGAATCGAAGTCGCTGCAGCGTAAGCGAAGATCCTGGGAATCCTAAGGCCAAACACGTGATTCGTTCCATCGACAGTCGCTAGACAGAAGCACTCAACGGCTGCGGATGACAAACGTAGCAGTAAAGCTATCGACGCAACGTCTACCTTCTCGTTAGGTTGGAAATCTTTTATGTTGCTCAAATCCATCGAGCGAGCGAAAGAAGCAGGGCAACTTCTAGAAGTTGTTGGGATGTAGCGAGAGTTTGCTGGCGTTCTCTAAAATCATTCGATAAGCTGTAGTAGGTGAATTATATGATCAGCGGTGTAACCGCAACATGCAATCAGCAACTCGTCTCATGAACACGGTATCGCACCATCAGACTCCTTTGCATTCACTTTCCTCTAGCACGAAGCCCACAGCCTACTCCATGAGAATGTGTATAGAATTCCTCGCTTTGAAGTCTACGAATTCTATGGAGTATTTCGGTATTAGGATCCAAAAAAGTGTTTTCTCCTCAACTATACTCGTCCCTCTCGCATAGTTTCTATGAATAACAGGTGAAGCTTAACATCAGCATAAGCAGTTACAATGGAAATTCTCGATGAAATTTATCTCTTACGTGATCGCTAAACAGGAGCCCAGAAAATGGAAACGTAGGCAGAACAAGTGGATTTTGGTACATTTATGGCACCAGGACATCATGTCTCTTCTAAGACTAAAAAGCTCATCCGAAAACAGACGAATAATCCATGTCCCTATGTGGACGAATTCGGCCGACCCAGTTATCATCGCTGCATGATTTCGAAATGCAGCATATTTGTGCAATCAATAAGGAAGTGCGAGTCGCGACACAAGAAGTCATCTACATCGTCGTTTTTGCAAAGCATTCCCAAAAATGCTGGTGAGACTGAGCGATCAACCAAAAACGAAGAAATGAGCTTAAGGGAACGTATCGGGTTGTAACCGAAAATCGTGCAATCAGAAAAAATACTGCCGACATATTGGAAATCCTAGTGGTACCCAGCCGTCTTTTTCTTAAGTGCACTATGAGGCTGAATCGTGGAATTCTACATACTAAGACTAAGGCGACAATTTCTAGGACTTTCGTAAGTACTGATCATAGTCGGTTAGGAGCAAACTTTCACCTAAACTAGAATGCTTGGAAGATTTTAGGGTTGAACCTAACACTTACTGATTAATCTTAACAATGAGGTGTTTAGAATTCTTCGATACTGTGCCACTTTTGTATAAGCAGCTCTTAAAACTAAGGACAGTCAATCTCTTTTCTCTCATAGCTATTGTTTTGGTAGCGTATTCGTCTACGCCGCGTAAAAGAAGCTGACTTCTCAGTTACCTGCTATCCGCATCCTCTTTCATATGTAAGTCGTTGCATATGTTGAAAATTCACGATAGATGCCTTTGGATAGGAATGTGTTCGCTGTTGTCGGAGAGATTCGGACTTTGACTTAGTTTTAGGCAGAGACCAAATCACATCTGATATCATTAAGCAAAACATGGCAATGCTAGGTACTCGACAACAGCTAGTAATTCGTTGGGAAACAGCGTTTGAGGAGTAGAGAACTTTACTTCCTTATATTAGGTAGTAACATATGAAATGTCCGATTTTGTTGTTTTAATTTTCCGTGTCTTCCCAACGATTTACCGCCTCATCATGGCTGGGAGGTGTTCCTGGGTGCTGGAATGCGATGTACAGCGGGGGATTCGTCCCCGGGCAGGGTCTTCCAAGCTGAGGAGTCCGCCGTTTCCATCAGGTAGCCTAGCTAAGAGTAAACCAATACCAGGATCCACCACCGTCCCGGTATCAAAGTCGCATGGTGATAAATCTCCCTCTGATCCACAAGAGCTGCGACTGCCTGTCGTGGTGACGAACTGGGGCAGACTTTGACCAGGCTGTCCTCGGGATTCCAGGGAACCACAATGGCTTAACCAGCCAATCCCCGAAAAATGATGATTATGCTGGGGCCCGCACAACTAGTGATGACGGGCCGTTCAAGTTCAAGTAAGTAAGTAAGTAA